CAAAAATAAAATAAATAAAAATTTTATTTTTACCTAATAAATCGGGCGTTACTTTTGGTGACTACTGTACGTACGTACATACGATACTGATACGTACGTACATACGATACTGATACGTACGTACATACGATACTGATACGTACGTACATACGATACCAGCTTAATTTTGGGTGATACTAGGTGAGATGTTTTAGCATGACATGATGCATCGCGAGTTACCTAATTTAATAAATTCTACCAGATCATCAATAACTCGTGCAACCCGTGGGTTCACCGTAACCCGGGTAGCAATCATACTATACCGATACTGGAAATTTTTTTTTTCAATCAGCTAACCATAAATTGTCCTAGCGTTACCATTTAAGTTTCGATGGCCAAACAGATTTCAGGATCTGATACCACGCAAAATCAAAATAATCCAAGAACGGCAGTAACCCAAAATTTACTTATAAGTGCACATCCTCTACAATTGTACGCATACGGCTGGTTCCGAGAGGAGATCTGCGAACTAACGAAAATTTTCTTGGAAAATTTGGTGTCACTAGATCTTTAACCTAATAGCAAAATTTTTTTTTAGAGAAATTTTTTATGTTGGTAACAATAGAATTCTATTGTTTGCAAAATTTGCATCATCAGAAAAGAAATCGATTCTGATTTCCTATTTCCTTATGTATTTTTTTATTTTTTTAGACTATGTGATTATATAAACTTGATAAAGAAAATTAGAGATAATCACACAAAATTTATGTTGTCACTCCGTACTTGATTTTTAATTGATTTCTAAATTAATCAAGTTATAAAGCTGCAAATGTTTTTAATGCATGTCCATCTATCAGCAATAGAATACGTTAATATTTGTATGATCCGATAGATGATAATTAAAAATGGTTATTGATAAGGATTTTTTGATCAATCATATTATTGATCGTCGTTCGCTCGTTCGGTCTTTTATAATAGAATAATGATTGAGTGATCCAAATTGAATTTAATGTTTGTTACATTCGATTTTTGTTATAATTGATCCGTTGATCCATTGATAAAAAAAAAAAACTTGTGGCCAAATAATATAATTATAGTGCGATCAATCACCATCTTTAATAACATACTATATCGGGAATTGCTTTTTAAGTGGAGAACTTTTAGGTCAGGGGCAATGATTTACTGCAATCACAAAAAACAGCAGAATTTTTCTTAAAAATAGCTACCGCAGAATACCACAAAATCCTAAAAAAGTCCTAAAAAAGTAGTGAAGAATATCACAAAATTCTAAAATATCACAGTATTAACCATTCAGGTCGGCATCGGGAAATTCCGGAAGGGTAGACGGAATTATATGGTAATTTATCACATTACTGTATTAGAACGAAAAAAGTACAAAATGGTATCACAGAAATTGATAACACAGAACTTGTCTTAACCATACGCAGAATTTAATCTTAACCAAAACAGAAACTCATTGTCCCTGCTTTAGTTTTAGATCTTTTCAAGACTCCTTCACACAATGAATCTTATACCTCGGGGATCACATTCTCTGACAGTTAAGGTCGGCCCAATTTACAATTTAGAGTTAGTCGGTGAAATAAGTGTCGATGAATCCCTTGTATCCACCCTATATTGTAGTTTAACCGGCAACATTACAAATTTAAAAAGTACTACAGAATGTACATACGTATGTACCTAAACAATTGATTCATCAGTTGTCGAGAAAGAAACCGTTGCTCTTAATTAGGGTCTGACTCAAATATCAATGATACAAGTAAATCATTATAGCCAAGTTATTGGTCTAAGAAAGTCCACCCTATGATTTAATATACAAGAGTGGCATATTAACAAAAGTTCACTTGTTAGATACTGTATTAGTGAAGGTATTATAATGATAATACTATGCTATTTATGCAATTGGAAAGTCGATCAGAATCCAGACAACGATAAATTAACCTATTACTGTATTAATTTTTTTCGGCAATTTACCACATCAAGTGTCGATTGTAGATTGCATGTGCTGATAATGTACATGTTTATCACTATGCGTTAATTCTCTCGAGTTCTAATTATTGCTTTATGGAGAAACTTTGATAGCCGAAGATCATAATAGAATAAAAAGATGCCAAGGAAAAACCAGACTTCAATCATATGATCGAAGTCTGGTTTTCCCTTATCTTCATCCAAATATAATTATAAAGTTTGTTTTTTTAAAATTTTAGCTGATCAAAATTAGTAATACTAATATCCCGATCCGTTGGGAATTAGCAGAAACGAAGTTTCCGCTTATTCACATACGGTCAAGGTATTATTAATTAACCCTTCCGTGATCTTGATATAGTGATCGGGGGATTATCTACTTTATTATAAATAATGTATATATATATATGTGTGTGTATATGTATTTTAAAAATGATATCATTTACCAAGACGATAATCTTATTAGTATTAATACATTATACCCTTTTCTTGCCTGCAGATCAAGACAGTACTTCGTCCCTACGAACTACGGTCAGCCGGAGTTAACAATTTGAATGCAATATAAAAAAATTCTTTGTTCCTTGCTAGTGCATCAATCCACATGTGCATACATGCAATTATTTAACGGATAAATTCAATGCCGATGTATAATGATATCGTAGTTAATATAATTCATTGTAAGTAAGTTAAACTTATTGGTACCATTTTAAGACATTACGGAGGAAAAGAATCGCTTTGACTAAAAATGTAACAACATTAATATTTATAAACGCGATATCGATATAAAAATAAGATATTTTTCTCAAACAAATAATTTAATGAAAATAATTATAGTAAAAATGCAAGTGAATTTTTTTTGGCTGGCAAATATTTAAGTTGTATCTAGGATTTTGAAAATCGTTATTTAGAATGTTACAATAAATTATTGTTATTGTTTTACGTATTATTACGATTATATACATAATTATTATATATATAATTATTATTAATATACGATTCATTAAAAGTCTTATGGTTACATTACTATTGTTGCGTTACGTGACTAACCAAAATGATGCTACAACACAATTTTTTTTCTTTTGTGCGTCCTGAATAACTTTAATCTCTTCTGAATTTAACCTTATTTAAAGAGACTGGGTTAATAATATTAACCGAAATTATCAGATGACCTATAAAAGTTATGAGAAGCATGTATATAATATGTACGTATAATTAGGTATATATCAATATTAGATATATATTAGGTATATATTAGGTATACCAGTATATTAGGTATCAAGAAACATACAAAGAATGAACACTTGATCAAATTTCTCTCATCCCTGTATGCTAAAAAAGGTACAACAATTATTGTCTCCAAAATTCCGGAATACCCGTCAAATAAAATTATTCGTCTTCGATTTATGTACAAAATTATTTTATTAGTCTGCAAAATAATTGAGATTCGATGTTAAGAAAAGTGTTAGTCATTAATGATAATCTAATTGATTACTAAAATGGAATATGATGAGTGGTACAGGGTATACGCACGTGGAGTTTTCTTTGTTAAGTCCTTGTATAGTAGTTGAAACAAATCACTATGTTTCTTTTTATGATTCCACGTGTTTAATATTAAACAAATGATCCATACTAATCTGGTCTAATTATCTATAAAATCTTATAGGTTACCTAAATTTTTGTGTTCCCACTTTCATTGCATACCCGTTGGGTACACAACAAATAAACCAGCCAGACCACGAATTTAATTTAAATACTGATTGGAGCAATGCATGCCGTTTTTTGGCCTAGATATAACTCGCTTACGAGGGTTATCTGAAGACATTCATTTATAATCAATAACAACCCTTATTTCTTTTTTTTTGACATTGTTATATATGTATAGTTGTGTATATATATTATAGTTATATATAGGTTCCTTTCATACGCTTTATTTTATTCTTTTATTTTTTCATTTTTTTATATATATCTATTTCCTCTTTTTTACTTTTTTTTTCTTTTACAACTAACGGTCTTTCCTTAACTTCATAAAAAATAAAAATGACCCTTACTGAAAACTCTTCCCAAAATACATTTAACAACCTCAATGGATGGAATGTAGTTATTTCCTGGAGAAAAGAAAATTTTGAATTGAATCATGATCAAGTTGGTTACTTAACAAATATGTATGCTTCGGAAATCTTTCCGAGGCTATATATGGGCAGGTTTGTATATTCATTCATTCTCTTAAGCTACTCTCAAAATAATAAACTTGAAAACCATGTTAACTCATCTTTCTGGCTAACTATTAGCGTACTGGCAGCTTCTGATAGAGCATGGTTGATGGATCATAAAATTACTCACATTCTTTCGGTTACAGATCACGCTCCTCCTCAGTTTCTAGAGGTTAGACCTAAATATCTTGAATCTCTTGAATCTTTACATTTTTTTATAAAGAATTTTCCAATTGTTATGTAGTCTTATAAGTACAAAACAATCTCAATACGAGACTGTGAAAATACAAATATAATGGAATATTTTGATGATGCTTATGAATTTATTTGTCAAGCTTTAAAAGAGAATGGGAATGTTCTTGTTCATTGGTATGCCTTTTATGTTTAAAATATACTCAATTTTATACCCAATTTTATACTTATTATGTTATTTTTGAATAGTCAAAGTGGAATATCACGAAGTGCTACAAGTAAGTTCTCTCTTTATAATCCCGTTCTTAAAACTTGTAACTTTTGCTTACCTAACTCATCACTTATTCATTACTTATTCATTACTTATTCATTTGTAGTCGTCATTGCGTATATAATGAGAAACAGTCAAATGGCTTCCACTGCTGCCTATTACTTTGTAAAGTCAAAGCGTCCTATTATTTGGTATGCTTTCTTTATCTATCACTCTAGTAATCATTCATATAATCATTCATGTATTAGTTTGTATATTCGTGACTTTTCTAACGTATTTTTAACGCTTTGTAGCCCAAACCAAGGTTTTCTTAATCAACTAAAGTTATACGAATCTATGGGTTGTCATGTTGTTAAAACCAATCCAAAATATTGGAGTTACTTGGTTAGAAAATGGAGTAAATCCTTTTTCCTGTACGTATAATAATTTTTTATAGTCTTTTAAATATGGGAAATTCTATTTCACCTGGGTTAAAGTCACTCGATAAACTATAATGTCATTTGCGTAACTAAAATTATTAGTTTTAGTAATATTTCGGGTGACTTTAACCCGGGTGAAAATAGAATTTCCCAATAATAATATTTTATAATCTTCGACCTATTTTAATTATTATTGCATTATTTCAGGCCAGTACATGTTTAAATTTGACTCTAAACTTTTTTTGTATAGTTTGTCCGAACCTTAGAGCCTAAAACAATCTATCATCCAAAAAACTAGATGTTTATATAAACTCTCTCTCGTTTCATACATTCGTTTTTTTACTTGTATATATTATAAATCCCTTTATCCATTACGTGTGCGCTAGAATTACATGTCCGTACGATTTTAGTGTCGTCCGACTTTTAAAAATCTTTCCAAATCAAAATCAAAAAAAAACGAAAAAAAAATAATCATAAAAGTCAAAAAAAAAATCACCATTTCTCAATTCCACGAATCATACCTCTTGTCATTCCTTTATTTTTTCCTCTATATATATTTTTCCCATATTTTATACATGTATGTCATATATATTTGTTTATATTAGCATTTTTATTGGTATTTTTAGCATTTGTTTTATATATAGTCTTTTTCACGTGCATTTCTTGTCCTATATCTTTTTCTCACTTTCTTTAAAATTTCCTCGCGTCTCTTTGTTGATTCGCAACTCCTCTATCTCACATACATGTATATACAATATAGAATTATCAATTGTTTTTATTTTTACACATATATATACATTTTAGGCTTTTGAAGGTTTTGATATCTTTTGCTTGTCCTCAACAATTTTACCTTAAATAAATAAAATAATTTTTTTTTTACTTATTTCTTGGGAGTGACAAGGTTAAATTCCTTTCTCCTCATGAACTTATTAATTTCGTGACTCAATATCATTAATACTAATAACTTCTGAAAATTCTATTTATTAATCTATTAATCTGAGAATGTCATTGTATTTCTTTTACACATTCCAAGTTGTCATAGGAATGACCAAGTAATTAGAATTACCAAAATTTCTTTCAAAAAATATATTTCGTGGGAAAAAAAAAATACGTATGTACATACGAACGAAGCTATTGATTAATATGGTGTATTCTAACCTAATATTTGTTACTAACAAATTCCCTAACCATTATATTCAAAGACTTAATCAAGTTATGTTTCTAATTCGAGTTTGTGTTATATAAAAATCGAATGTTCGAATTCTGATATTCGAATTACAACAAAATTCGATTAATATCGATATAGTGTCGATATATGGAATATTCCTTTTCAGTATAAGTCATTATTTATTTATATGGTTCTTTATTTGTGATACAAACTTTTTTGTGAATTTAATAGTTCTCCCAAAACCATTTTTTATGTTTAAAATCGCAAGAATTAATCTCGTAAAATTCTCAGTAATCCAGGGTAATATGTTGTACGAATAACCATAGGTGGATTGCTATATTGGGGATAAACAATCGTGAACGTATATTGTAATTTATTTAGACCTTTTGTTGACGACCCACATGAAACTGACCACTCCAAATTGAGTATATCTTACCGTTACGGCATGCCTATAGTATAGCATGGCATTCCATATTGGGGTGTTCTTTATCGGTCTATTTACATAGTGTAGATCACGTAATAATGATCACTAATTGTGTAATAGTAAAAACATACAAAAATCAAACTTGAACCAGCAAACCCATACAATAAA